GAGGGCGCTTTGCCTCATCCGCCTCTAGAGTGGGTATGGATATGGACATGCCACAAGGCCGAACAAGGTGGAGATAATTCCCTACCTAGGCTCTGCCTAGAAGGGTTCTTCTCTCTTGACTTAAAGGGCCGGCAGTGGGAACTGGCCCGGGCGGTTCCCCCAGTATCCGCCCCGCGGTTCCCCCAGTTACGTCCCCTTAGCTTAGCGTTGCTTATCTCATCTTAGCTTAGCTTATTTCATCTTAGCTTAGCTTAGCTTCATTAGCATGGGTGTAATTCCCTACCTAGGCTCTGCCTAGAGGATTAACTTAGCTTAGCTTAGCTTAGCATAGCGCAGCGCTGCATTAGCATAGCATAGCATAGCATATCATAGCCAAGCATAGCATAGCATAGCATATCATAGCGCAGCATAGCATATCATAGCATAGCATAGCATAGCATAGCATAGCATATCATAGCATATCATAGCATAGCGCAGCTTAGCATAGCGCAGCCTAGCATAACATATCATATCATAGCTTAGCATAGCACAGCGCAACATGACATACCATAGCTTAACACAGCATATCATAGCATAGCATAGCATAACGCAGCATAGCAGAGCATAGCATAGCATAGCGCAGCAGAGCATGGCATAGCATAGCAACTAATGCTGCTTTCCTAGGGGCTCCAACTTCTAGGTAGGGTCGCACTGGGGTAATATTTTTAGATTATCTGGGATACATCAGCACCTGTTGGCTCGGACTCGAGGCCAGAAACGTCGGGAGTGAATATGGATGCAGGAGATGTGCCGAGGGTATCTCGAGCGATGCCAGTACACGTATTCTATGTACCATGTGTAGTAGCCTTTCTGTAGTCGTACTCTAGAGTACGTTTGCACGGGGTCGTACATGATGTGCTGGATGCTGATTGTGTGTCTGATGTATCTGATGTTGGTGTCGATGCTGGTGAAGACATGCCTGATACTAACGCTGATGACATACGCGGATCGGCCATTTTTTTTCCGTTTGCTTGCTCACGCTTGGATATCGCAGAAGGATTTGGTAGTGGCGCAGTGGTAATCTTCGTCATGGTGGCGAAGATGGGGGTATCGGGTGCCAATTTCTTTGTACCTTGCTCGGCCTCGTGCGGCACCACAGCCGAGTCGAGGAGCTGTCCTTATTGTGGCGGAACAGCTGGGAGCTGCTTGGCTCCCTTGCGCGCCGGCGACAAACTCGCCGGGTGCCTCAGGATGTCTAACACCAAGTGACCGTTGGCCAGCGTTGGCAGGGTGAAATCCTGGGCCAGGCTCTTGACCACGCACCTGCCCGTCTCGAAGTCCACGCAGAACCTCAGGGCCTGTAGGTGGTCCATGCCGAGCAGCGCGGGGCCAGGCTTATTCAGGCCTGAGAACATCAGCATGCCAGAACTCTCGGCGATGAAGGAAATAATCGTGATGCGGCCTTTGCTCTTCGCCTTCTCGCCATTGTTGAAGGTGAACTCCGCCTCGTAGGTCGGGTCGACTGGAACCAGGTCCTCACCATGCTGATGAAAGATCTCGTCTTGCACTGCATTGAGCCAGGGTGGGCCTGCCATGCTCTGAGATGCGCCGCTATCCACGATCACGCAGCCGCGACACTCCTGGGCGTTGAAGAAGCTGAAGGCCGCGAACGTGTAGAGGTCGCGCTTCTCGATCGTGACGTTGAGAACGTAGCCGCAGAACTCATCGACGGCGGGTCGACCTGCGCCATTCAACTCGGGGCAGTCTTTGGTCACGTGGTCCAGCTTGCCACATTTACGGCACTTCTTGATGCGACCACCTGCTGGCATCGGTTGCCCGCCACTGGGTCGGTGCGATCCTCGGTCCAGTTGAGGCTGCCAGTCTCCGTTTGATGATGACGGTCCGCGGCCAGGCGATCTTTGTCCACGATTGTGTCTTTGAAATCATCCACCTTGGGGTGTTCGGAACTCTCTGCTGTCCTCGTTGGTCGTCTCCTTGACGAGAAAGTGTTCGTCCGCCTCCTGGGTAGGCGGGACTAGCCTGCTGGCCAACCGGGTAGTAGCGGCGATTCAACTTATTTTGCATCAGTATTTTGCAGGCCTCCTCAAACGTTCGCTGAGCCTTCATCAGCATGATGGCTTCTTGTTGGGTATCCGTCTCGTAGTAGGACTCCTGGTTCTGGTCAGTCGGGTCGTACCCGTCCTCGAAGAAGCCGTCAGCCCTCTCGTCCTCGTGGTAGTCTTGGTCTTCCTTGGACTGGCCGTCGTCGTCGACGTCGAGTCCATCAGCTGCATGGGTGTCTCGGGCTCCGTCGCGACGGCGCAGCTCGTCCTCGGGCCAGTTGCCCGTCAGAGCTTCCAAGATCTTCTCTCTCGTCTACTTGTGGCCGTTCGCCGAAGTGATGCCGGAACGCTCTGTCGGGTCGAGACCGCTGTTGTATAGAAGTAGAACTCAACGCAGAGCTCCGCCTCGATACATTCTTGTTCTGGTTCTTTGTCTGGTGGGGGCCCTCGTACTCTCATTCTCTCGGTTGTCGTAGGCGAGCAAGCTCTCGCCCTTCTGGCGGATCAGCTGGTTTCCGAGCCTCTTTTTGAGGTACTGTACGAGCTTCTGAGCCCAATCTTCTTCGCTGAGCGATCTGTTGGGGAATCAAGCGCTTATCTCTTCTGGGCTGTGCCGTCGGCCCTTACTCCAATCAAGCGTGCGCCGCACAGCTGCCGCTCGTCCTTCTTGGTCCCTAGGGCATACATACGAAGGTTCTCGGTGTAGTCGTCTATGGTCTCCAGTCTGCCTTTTCATCGCGGGATCATCCTGCGTTACTCTTGTTGGGTCATGTTTCCAAAGGCGTACTCGAACCACGTCTCTTGGAAATAGCTCCGCAATACCAGCGTAGTAGGATCGCTGTCGAGGCTGCTGCTGATGTGATGATGAGACACATTTTTTTTATCACACGCTGCGATTGGACAGTATATCTCGTGGCCTTCGGCCCATCCAGCCACCGTATCTGGGTTGTGGGTTAGAAGCCTCTTGGATGTTCGTTTAGATATCGTGGGAGGCCTCTGGGCCTCTTGGAGGCAGTTTGAGGCCTTTGGGGGGCCTCGTGGCGCCTCTTTTTTGGGCCTCTTGGGGGCATTGTGGGCCTTCTAGGGGCCCTCTTGGGCTCCCTTGGGGACCTCTTGGGGCCTCCTGGGGGCCTCTTGGGGTGGCACGCTCGAATTGTGTTCCCCGTCTTGGGCCCCTCTTGGGGCCGTCTTGGGGCCCTCTTGGGCGCCTCTTGGGTCGTTTTGGGGCCCTCTTGGACCGTCCGGGCCCTCTTGGGGGCCTCTTGGGCGGTCTTGGAGCGTCGGAAGCCCGAAAACGCGAGACCGCGAACAGCATTGCAAAAAAACAAAGGAACATTCACGATTTCTGCCTCTTTGGGCTCTCTTGGGGGTCCTCTTGGAGCGCCCCGGCATCTTGGGCCGTCTCGGAGCCATCGTCTTGGAGCGCTCTTGGGCTGTCTTGGAGGCCTCTGGGACCCTCTTGGGCACTCTCTGGGGCCCTCCTGGCCCGTCTTGGGGCCCTCTGGCTTCTGGCAGAGTCATGCGGGGCAGCCCGGGAGCGCGCGGGAACGCCCAGGAAATTTGGGATTGAAGGGCCCCAGCCCTTAGAATACTAGAATCCCAGAGCCCTGAGTACAGAGGACAGGGACCCCTTGAGGGCTCGAGGACGCTCCACTTCGTGCCTTGAGGCACGGTGGCGGATGATGTGTAATAATCATCCGCCCAGATATGAAAGGAGGGCGCCTCCCTCGCCTGAGTGGCGCCTGCCGCGCCTGCTTCCCGCAAAGGAAAGGGCCGAGATACCCTTGGCTCGAGAGCCGGCTCTGGGAACAGAGCCGAAACGCTAGCGGCATCCTCATTCACTGTGTGCGCACATGCTGCACTCTCTTCCACTGATGCTGGTGCTGAGATGTCCATACTCTGAACTTGCAACAACACCTCCCTCCTCCCTCCTCAGTCCTCTCCTCTCGGCCCCCGGGGGGGCTGAGGACCCTCCTGCACTGCTCGCCCTAGCCACAAGGGGTCCAGCGTGCGCGGCGCTGGTAATTAGGCGCGACGAATGGAACGAACTTTGGCCCGCGATAAGGTGTCCTCTCCTTTGTCCCCTCCTCTCTGCAAGGGCCGCGAAAGGCTGGCCGGGATCCAGGAGGGTCCTCGCCCAGGTCGGCTGACCCCGTCGGCGGCGGCGGTCTGCGGCGAGGGCAGGTATGAGTGAGGAGGCCCTTCGTCGTCCCCCTGGCCTGCTTCTGGGATCCCTCGGCTGTTTCCTGGGGTAGGCTCCCACACCGATCTCTCGCGCCCCCCTTGCCGTGGCGTGCTGCCCGAAGGCTTCTGCATGTCCTCAGAGGTCCGTCCTCAGAGTGCATTGTAGCATGCGCCAGCGTCCGGTAGTCGATGAGAGGCGCACCTCCCTGGGCGGGCTCGGGCCGCCTTTTGCGGGGCGGACCTGGTCGTGGCGGCGAGGCCCCCCCCCCCCTGCAGGGGAGCCGAGGAGAGGCGGAAGGCGCCAGGAAGCCACGGTGCAGGCCCGAGCAGCAGGAGCCATCGGCCTCGAGGAGGCGAGCGGCAGCGGTGGACGACGATTCCCGATCCTCTGGAGGTCCTGGGGCCCCCAGCGGTCCCCCTGGAGGCGTCCAGAGGCAGCTGAAAGCCCAGACACGACCACAGCGGCAACAAGAACGGATCCTCGAGCCTCGATCTTTGGGATCCTCGCAGGATCGAGGAGCTGGACACGGAGACCCAGGTTTCTAGAGGGGTGCGTTCTGTCAGGGATTTCAAATGGAGCGCAATCGTGGCGACGAGAAGCCTCGCAGAGGCGCCAAAGGAGTGGCAAGCTCAGAAGTCTCGATCCTTTAACTCCTCCTCCTCCTGCTCCTCCCTGGATCAGAGGAGCTGGATACGGATATCCTCGATCCTCCCCAATCCTCTTCGATCCTCGATCCTCGTCCTCGTCCTCCTCGATCCTCCTGCTCCTCCAAGGATCCAGGAGCTCGACACCCAGATCCAACTGCTCGCCGCCCAGATCGAGGAGATCCAGAGCAAGACGGGCGAGCTGAGCGTGGAGGCCGCGGACCTCAAGGACAGGATGGAGGACCTCTCCGAGCCCTGGCCGCCCGAGCGCCCGCCACCGACGGCCCGACCTCTTCTCAGGCACGGCGACGACGGCGACGACGGCGACGACGACGGCGACGGCGGCGGCGGCGACGAAGACGACGAGGACGGCGGCGGCGGCGGCGGCGTTGGCGACGATGACGACGACGACGGCGGCGACGACGACGACGACGCGGACCGCGGACCGCGGACCCCGGACCCCGGACCCCGGACCGCGAACTGCTCTGCCCGGAGCGCTGCGCCCGCAGATCGCTCCGCCCCCCGCCTCGCCCGTGGGGGTCCATCCGCCCGACTCGCCCAGCCGCCCGCCTGCAGCCCGTCCGCCCGCGTCAGTGTGCCGCCCGCCCGCCCGCCCCGCTGGGGTCTGCCCGTCCAGGCCCGCCCGTCGGGGTCCGACTCGGGCGTTGTGCAACGGGGGGCGACAGTTCCATCGGGGGTGGGCAGCAGCCCCCACCCTGACACGTCGATGTAGTGAACTGCCGTTTTCGGTTCTCGAGAGGGCGCCGGGGCCGTCATTTTCCAGGCTTGCGCCCGCCAGGTTTGGGCCCGAGGTCGTTTTCACTGAACCACGTTTTACGAGAGGGGGTTCTGTCCATCCCCGATTCTAGGCCTCCTAGATGGTGTCGGACTAGATGGGGTCGGAGGATCGCGCCGCATTGCCCATGCGTCGGCGATGCGGCTCGATGTGGAGCCCAATCTGCTTCACGTCGACGTCGCCGCTGCATCGGTGATGCATCGACGATGCGGCGCGATCCTCCGACGCCATCTACTCCGACCCCATCTGGAAGGCCTCCAGTGATGGGGGGGGGGGGCGATATAATGGGGGGCGGGTGACGAAAGGTGCGCCTTCCGTGCCCTAAAGGGTCCCTAAAGGGGTCCCCTGGGGCCCACCAGGGGCACGAGAGGTGCTCGTTGCTCCCCTCCCCCTCCACTCATCGTCCCTCCGTGAAGCAACGCCCAACCGACTGCTGCTGGCCCGGCGTCGGAACGTCCTCCTGCTCCTCTCTTCTTGCCTTCCTCCTCGAGGGAGTGGGGAAGCGAGGGGGAAAAGGTAGTGGGGGGAGTACATAAGTGAGGGCTGGGCCTCGTTAGTGGGAGGATTCCTACGGGAACCAGGGTGCTGTCTAAACGAGCTCCCACGGAGGAAGAGAGAAGTCGTGGACGCGAGCAGCAACATGCGCCTTCTATGATGCTCGCTTCCCAAGGGTTCCGGTACGCGAGCGGGCGGACGAAGCACGAGAAGGGTAGGGTTCTCAGGACAACGTCTTGAAGCGCGAGAAGCTCACCAGCATCCGCGACAAGGAGAACCAGGCACCTGCATTGTCGGCTGGAGCAGCCACCCAGAGCTTTGCAAGTCCATCTCTCCCTCCCCGTCGCTCTCTCTCCCTCTCTTTTTCTCTTCCTCGCTCTCTCTCTCTCTCTGCATCTTCTCTCCTCTCTCTCTTTCTCTCATCGCTCCGCCCCCCCATTCCTTTCTCTGGTTTGCCATTTTTTGAACACCTCTTCTCTAGCATTGCTAAGGCCTTACGCCCGGTGCCGCCGACCCTGAAGGGAGACGACGACGACGATAACAGCGGCGGCAGCGGCGAGGACGACGACGCTGACGTGGGCCAGAGTCCCAAGGGATGCTCCTTGGGGTCTCTTCTCTCTTCAGGCGTCTCTCGAGGACCCTCTCGGGGGCCCCTGGGCAGGAATTTTGGGGCCTCATTGGAGCCTCTTGGGGGCCTTTTGGGACCCTCTTGGGGGCCTCTTCGGGCTTCCTGGGGACCTCTTGTGGGCCTCTTGGGGCCTCTTGGTAACCTCTTGGGGCCTCCTGGGAGTCTCTCAGGGCCGAGGGCTCGAATTGTCCGTTCGGGCCCCCCGTCTGGGCGCGCTCTTGGAGCCGTGTTGGGGGCCTCTTGGGCCGTCTTGAAGAGTAGTTTCTTGTGGCGCGCTTCGGTGCTCTTGGGGCCATATTGGGCCCCTCTCGGGCCCCTCCTTGGGGCTCTCTTGGAGGCATCTTGGAGCTACCTTGAGGCTTCATGAGCCCGTCGGAAGCAACATTCCATTTCCTCGGGTTTTGGAAGGACCTTGGTCTCTCGGTGGTCCTTTGTTTGGGAGGCTTCGAGCCGTATCGGGGCGGTCATGGCGCCTCTTGGAGGCATGTTGGAAGTTATCTTGAGCTATTTTGGGCTATCGTGTGCG